TAAATATAATTTAAAGTAACATTCTCAAAACCTAATTTTCCCTTTGATTTGAAAAGCATATTCTTTATAAATACTATTTAGTTTCTTCTTAATTTACTTTTCCCTTCACCTGCTGCTTGAGGTTGCCTCTGAGACCTAACCCTGTTTGAGAAAACCCTTTCTATCTCCTCCCTTCAAAAGGATTAATCTAATTATTTTGGCAAATATAGAGAGCAATCTTTTCACCGGGGAAGGTGTAACCCTTAAACCTTAAACCCTTTTCGTCTGTTGTGGGGGGAGTTGCCTCTCGCAGCACTAATATGACCAGAGAAGTCAACTGCCAGAAAGGATCAATCTAATTATTTTAGCAAATACAAGGCGGCGGCAACAACCCTTCTGCGGACTAAATCCTTTCTGAATTCGCTACACTACGCACTTCGGAGAGTCTAAATCCGTAGATGCAGTGACTCCTTTTGCGAGTGACAAGGCCACAAAATCTACGAACGAGGCTACGAAGGATTACTAATCCTTGGGCTACTCCTTTTGTTCGCAATACCGTTTTCCAGGTACGGCAATGGTCGTGCGTGAGGCCAAGGAAGACGCTTGTATCTTGTAGCTTGTCTCTATGTATCTCTTTTGGGAAGGAGTAAAAGTGCGTCGCGCCCACCGCAATGGCAAAGACAATGGCTCGAAGCCAACATAGAGGCCCAGTTCAGGATGCAGAAAGGGGCAGCGAATTTTAGGGTTAGGAGTTCCAGGATCGCCTGCTCGGTTTTACGACACCCAAAGACAATCCCTGAACTCGAACCCGAAAACTCGCACCCTGGCTACCTGTATCTCTGCCCCTTTAATTACGCTGGTAAAGGGTACACCCCTTTTTTCGCTAGAGAAATATCGTGACAGAGAACTGTTTTGGTTGTGGCATGGTTATGGGTCGGTCATGTCCTTGGGCCGCGACAACAACAATTCGCAGAGTCGCGGTGGGCGTGACGCCTTTATGGTGTGTTTAGATACTTTTCGCAAGCAAATTCAAAAATCGCAACAATGCCGCATGCACCCGTCTCCTGAACAGCCTTGACTTCTTCAGAGATCTTTATTATAATGTTCATATTTTACCTAATTATCAATGCGATAAACTCAAGGACTGCTTTTGGCTGTGAAACAATTTTTGCCAAGTTTTTGGCGTTTTTCGCCAGGGGAAATATGTATATCTTGTCTTCTTGGAAGTACTTCTGAAATTGATTTTTTTTCCCCTAGCAGTTACTCTCTCTCTCGGTCTCGGTCTCTGTTTCTCTCTGTTTTTGCCATGAAATCGCAAATTGCCTTTGAGTTGAGCCTTGAACCAAGAGGAGCCTCCATCTCGAAAAAGCAATGCCTGAGAAAATTTGTGCTGCTTTGTAACCCCTTCCATGAGGCACTTTTGAGTGCTATTATAGGAAATTGCTCCTAGAGATGGAACCAAAGGGAAAATGGTGGCGGGAAATCAATGAAAATGCAGGGAGAGGGGAAAATCTTTGGGTTTTAGATGGTTTTAGGGGTCTAAGAGGGGAAGTAAATTACTAAAAAATAAATAAAGAACAATAAAAAATTGTGTAGATGCAATAATTACATACTCTTTAAATTGTACATTTATCAGAACTATTAAAATTAATTTAGGAATATTAATTAAGTTAAATTAAGGAATGTTAATTAAATTAAATTTAGGAATATTAATTAAAATAAATTAATGAATGTTTATTAAATTAAATTTAAGAATATTAATTAAAATAAATTAAGGAATATTAATTAAAAATCAATTAAAAATTCTTGCATTAAATTATTGAAAAACTATATTAAATAAATAAATACCCAAGTTTTTGCTACGAAATAAATCAGACAAAAAATAAGCATACCAAAATGTATTTTCTAAAAAATAATGAATAAAATATCTATATAATTATCAATTCCCCGAATAACTTCCTTCAGTAGCTTCTCGATAGTAGCTTCTACTTCCCTGGAAAATTCACAGATTTCCCTTAAAAGTGAAGGTCAAAAATACTTGAAAAAATTCGCCTTAGTTTTCCCCCTCAACAAAACCTAGTTTTTAGTGGAAAAGAAAATGCAAAAGGCAACCTCTGGGCATATGGCCCACTAAAAAGTCATTTTAACAATTATATTATTGCCTATGACTTTGACAATTTTTCTGCTCTAAAAAATCTAATTTTATTCGTGGAAACGTCGAAAAAAATACCATAAAATATGTAAGACAAAGAAGCAACGATGAAAAAAACATTGCTAAAAACCGGGTCAGAGTCCAGGAGCCTTAGAGTCAAAAACCAAGGGTCTTCGTCTCCCATCTTCTGCGAAGGCAAAGTTTTTATGATGCCAAAGAAGCGACTAAATAAGTTGTCATTTTTCGTTTTATGATGATGATTTTTGTTGTATCTTTTTTTTTGCTCTGCTCTCGTTGTTATATTTTTTACGCTCTACATTTTGAGATTTTTGTAACGCATACTCGTATTTTTTTTCCATTTTTCGCTTAGCAGGATCCTAGGACACAATGGCAGGCTACTAATGTCGGCCAGCAGGGCCGAGGGTTTTTATAGTTTTTTATGGCTTTATGGTAGGAGGCAATGACTTCTTTATTGGTGCAAGAGGAGGAGGTCCAGGAAGAAGTTTTTCAGGCCTTTCCATCTTTTTATGGTCTATGCATCTTTCCGTTTCCGTGACTTTCAGCCAGAGGATCAGATCGGATCAGATCCTGGTCCACATGCAAATATATGCTCTCTCGGCTCGGGGACATGTGTGTATTTCCCCGTAATCCTTTTTTGGCCATGTGTTGACAGCAATAACAATAATAATAATAATAATATTAGTACCAGCCAAGAGCAAGCAGGAAGTCAGTGCCATATATCACGGCTGGGAAATATTCGGCTCTGGGTCTTTCATGTCTCCACACACTCCGCCTGTGTTTGTTGTTTATCTATTTATTTATTTATTTGCTTTCGTACACTTATGACATGATGTTAATTACCGGGGCAGGAGTACTGGAAGGGGTTCTACTTCACTTTGAAATGGAAAAGTTCGCCGACTGTTTGTCAGCTGTCAACAGCGGCGACAATTGGCCGAAACGCCACAGACAGAGACAGAGACTGGAGTTAAAGCTGTCCGACTTTGAGTTACCTTCCGATGTTTGAACGGATCGAAAAATCCAAGAGATATTTCCGGAGACACACGCAGAAAAAAACCCCGCAGGATCAGCGTCTTTGATCTTTTGGGAAAGTTTATGTTAAATTATTGTCTAAATATTGTTTAATTGGCTTTGTGACGAAGTGTGTCGCAATGGGCTTAGTCTAGGGAGTCTCTCTCTCCCTCAGTGCATCCTGTGTATCCCTTGATCCTTGGTAAAACCTGGTAAATCAATGGGAATGTTTCTTGTTTTGCCAACTCACAGGATTAGCCGCTTAGATCCATTGCGGAAATACTATGACCAAGTCGACAAGTCAAAGTCATGGGAATGCACACAGGATTCGGAAGCAGGATAATGGGATTTGAATTTTCCCTTTTTTGCGAGGTAAAATTTATAATTTCCTAAAGTGCGGAAAATCCAGGACAAAGGAGAGAGTATAGATTTTCGAAATCAAGAATATGGCATGTGATTGGATTTAAAAAGTGTCTTTAATATCAGGAAAATCCAACTAGGAAAATGTTGTGAAATGTTATAAATATTTGGGAAATATAAATAAATATTAAATAATTAATTATTATATTTCCCACTTTTTTCAAGGTGTCTTAAGAAAATTTCCATTTAAAAAAGGCACCTGTCTGCCCTAGAATTCAATTACAGTTGATTAAAAGATCAACCAGGTGAGTAGCATGAAACATTTACAAGTGAAAAACTCATAAAAGATGATTTGACAAGCCTGTCTGTTTGAATATGAGTTTTAAAAATAGAAAAGTTTACTGTAAGTATTAAAAATTCAAACCAGAAACTCTAGAAATTAAATTGAAATAGTTTATGCCTAGCTAAACTGCTTCAAAATTAAGTTTACACATTTTAAAACTCAATTGGAGCATAAAAAATTAATTTAACAATAACTAAGTACTACCATAAATTTTTTAATGCATACTCTTCTTGAGAAAAAATAAAATAACATTTTAAATATATTATTTTCCATTTCAATTTACTGCATAAATTATATTAAAATCTCGAAAAAAACTCAAAGGATACCAATAATAAGTCCATAAATACCGCATTAAAATGAAATAAAGCCCCGTCTTTATTAATGTAAAATATGGCTGGCATATCCTGCGCCAGGAAGCAACCCTTTCCGGCCCAAAAAATCAATCATTTTCCCCGTTTGATTTCCCACAAAATGGGAAAATTACAATTTTCCAGGCAAAACGCTTTGAAGCGACTAATTGAATTTCCAGATTAAAGTGTAAAAAAAATACTGATTTGCAATTGCAAATTAAAATTTAAGTGAAAACGAATCACAGGGCAGAAGGGAGACATGCGGGCAAAGGGACAATAGATTACAATATCCTGGGGCGCAGAAGGACAGCAGGGTGGAGTTGGCAGCTGTGCCAAGGGATATGCATGTGGCACATGCGCCTGGGTGGGATTGGTCCAGGAGCAACACCAGCAACAGCAGCACCGGCAGCAGCAGCAGCAGCAGGCGGCAGGCAGCAACTTCGGCGGCAGCAGCAGCAGCAACTACGGCAGCAGCAACAGAGGCAACACCCGGGCAACACCAACAATATCCAAGGCTTCCGCTTGTTTACGGAAAAAGCCAAAAACCCAAAAGAGAGATACAGCTACAGCAGATACAGATACTGCTGAAAGGCAACCACCAATCGCAGAGCTCCGTATGGCAGCAGGTAGGCGTGGACGTATCTGCCATTTCCAAGTGCGACAACCACCCCAGCCGAAAAGGCCCAGCTGCCGTTGGTCCGGACCAGGCAGCTCCCTCTCCAGTCCTCTCTTCATCACCCCTCTCCTCTGCACTTCTCGGGCGGTTCACAAAAACGGGTCCGAGCGTCACCGGTTGCAGTCAGTTATTAACGAGCGCTACTCCCGGCAGCAACACATCAGCAGCAGCAGCAGCAGAAGCAGCAGCAGCAGCCACGTACCCTCAGCAGCTCAAGTCACTCAAAAAAATAAAGAGAGAAAGGAATACACCAAAGAAAGAGATAGCAGGACAAGAGAGAGCAACACACACACTCGATATTTTCAACATTTTGAGTCGGAGAGCGGCCAACGGCAAACGAATTCAGTTTGTGTCGAGACGTTGTCCGAGGCACGTCGCAATTCATAAGAGCGCTACAATCCCACAGATACAAATTTACGCAGATATATAGATACACAAGTGCCAAAGCCAACAACAAAAGTGCAGTTTTTGAGATACAAAAAAAGAAAGAAAGAATATCAACTACCAAAATATAACCAAAAAATAAACCAGACAAGTGCAATGTCTTCCACATCGGCCTCGCCCATCAGCAACATAACCGTGGACGACGAGCTCAACTTAAGCGGAGAACAAGGTGCGTTTACCAGATACAATATCTGTTAGATACTCGGGGAAAAGATACAGGGAATAAAAAGTGAACAAATGCCGACGGCTAAATGGATTATTACTTTGGATTTTTGTGTGGTTTTTAATAAGAAATATTTAAAGAAATTTAAAGAAACATTTTTTAAATAAAATAAAATACTTTTAACATTTCAAAAGCCATTTTAAAGCAATTTTCTGAAAAATCTTACAAATAAAAATCAAGGTTTAATTACAAATATTTATTTTACTGCAAACTATCACTCTCAAATGTAGTTTTAAATTTATATAAAATTCTCCTTTAACTCCCAACTAATTTTACATTATTTTTCTCAATTATTTTTTAGACTTTGCTGAGGAGGATTTCATAGTGATCAAGGAGGAGCGCGAAACGAGTCTCTCTCCAATGCTGACGCCACCGCACACGCCCACCGAGGAGCCACTGCGGCGAGTCCATCCTGCAATCAATGAGGAGGCGGTGGCCACCCAGCTGCACATGCGACACATGGCCCACTACCAGCAGCAACAGCAGCAGCAGCAACAGCAACAACAGCAGCAGCAGCAGCAACATCGCCTCTGGCTGCAGATGCAGCAGCAGCAACATCCGGCTCAGTATCCAGTTTATCCCGGCAGCCCCGCCGATCCCGTGGCCGTGCATCAGCAGCTGGTGAACCATTGGATCCGCAATGCAGCTCTCTACCAGCAGCATCAGCAGCAGCAACAGCAGCAGCAGCATCCTCACCATGGCCATCATGGACACCATGGGCATCCCCATCATCCCCATCATGCGCATCATCCCCACCATGTTCGTCCCTATCCCGCTGGTCTGCACACCCTCCATGCCGCCGTTGTGGGTCGCCACTTTGGAGCCATGCCCGGCCTGAAGCTGAGTGGCTCCAGTGGAGCACCAGCAGGAGCTGGAACTGGTAGCAGTCGGCCAAAGAAGCAGTTCATCTGCAAGTACTGCAATCGGCAGTTCACCAAGTCCTACAACCTTTTGATCCACGAGCGAACCCACACCGATGAGCGTCCCTACTCCTGCGATATCTGCGGCAAGGCCTTCCGGCGGCAGGATCACCTCCGGGATCATCGCTACATTCACTCCAAGGACAAGCCCTTCAAGTGCAGCGATTGCGGCAAGGGTTTCTGTCAGTCGCGTACTTTGGCTGTGCACAAGGTTACCCACTTGGAGGAGGGTCCCCACAAGTGTCCCATCTGCCAGAGAAGCTTCAACCAGAGGGCTAACCTAAAGAGTCACCTGCAGAGTCACAGCGAGCAGAGCACCAAGGAGGTGGCTTCCACCACCAATGTGCCAAGCCAGGCATTGAGTTCGCCTCAACCTGAGAACTTGGCACAACAACAGCACCTGCCCGTCCTGGATCTCTCTTCCTCCTCATCTACCTCCTCCACTGTCTCTGTTTCGGTCTCCGAGAAGCCCAAGAGAATGCTGGGCTTCACCATTGACGAGATCATGAGCAGATAGATTGTTAGGAGAGCTCGAAAACCCAACACAACCTGGTTTCTGTTGAGAGAGATTCAGAGAGTATCGTCGACGCCGCCAGGCATGGGAAATGCCTGGAATGGAAAACCGAGTCGAAAGCTGGCCAAAGGTGGAAACCGCTAAAGCCTCGCCAGCAGCAGCAGCAGCAGCACAAAGCGCAGCCCCAGTGAGAAGTAGCTGTAGTCGAACAGTCAGTCATCCGCCGTGCAATTAATTATTGCATAAAAAAAGAAAGAAGAAAATTTAAACAAATGCCAAAGTCCAAATAGCAGAGGGAAAAACCTGATGAAAATCCAGGGAGAAAAGAAAGTATCCTACACAAGGAAGACAAACAAAAAACACAATTCCAAAACACATACACAATTGTAAACTAAATAAAATCCTAAATATAATTGTAAACTATACTATAACTATTATTATTATTATTATTATTATTGTACCTTATAGTTTGTAAATGTTATGTTTCCCATAGTTCAATCAAATCAAAACTAAAAACTAAACCCAGAGACATACAAAACCTCAAGCCCAACTTGGTTATTGAAGAAAGACTGTTTTAATAATTATTGTATTTATATAATTATTTATAGTTTAATAGTTGTAATAGTTCACAAATTACACTTGAATAAAACAAATCAATCTAAGGATTGTTTAATGTTAAAAGAACAACTTGATAGAGTGTCATTGATTTTAAAATGAAAACGAAACTTGTGACTTGGCACAAAGATACAACGATCTCATTATAGTCTTTAGTCTGTATATAGAAGATGTGCATAAAATATATAAATATATAAAATAGAAAATAAATTTTCAAACTGAAATGTAAAAAAGACTTTTCTTTAAAGGGAAGGGTATATTTTTGGGAGATTTCTTTGTAAATTTTTAATAAAATTCCAGGCTTATGAAAAAAGTTCTATGAAATATTTTACTAGGTAAAAGTTTCTTGTTCTTTATTATATTTTTTATACATTTAAACATTTTTTTAAAATATTCTTTGCTTATAAAAATTGTTTATAAAACATTTTACTAGGTGAATGTTTCTTTATCTTTCGTTTTATAAATTTTCAACTCTTTTTAAATCAGGAAATATTAATCTTTTTAATCTTCAACAATCTAGATTATCTCTAGGCCAAAACACCCACGTTTTCTTGGCTACTTCACGCTGCCAAAATAACTCATTTTCGTTACCAATATCCCCATTTGGCCATAAGTGTTGCCCATCAAACAGCAGCTGTCAAAATTTATTAACCATTGGCATAACTCAGGTTTTATTATATGAAAATCTACATTTTTTGTGAATTTTTAAAGCAGCTCTATTAATTTTTTCAGGTTGCGCCGATTAAGTAAGCAGAAGTCGCCTTAAAAAAGGCCACAACTGTCGCAAAAGTTAATTTATGAAATCAAATTGAATTAAGTTACTGACTTGATCTCGATTTCGTTTTGGTTTTGTGTTTTTGGAAATTTTGAAAAGGTGTGGTCTTTTGGAATATTTATGGTGGCTTCTTCTTGTGAAATAGTTTCAGGAACGTGCCAAATGGGCTTTGAAATAGGTCTTATATTTTGAGGTTTTCCATTATTTTAGATACCTCTGTATATTCCTTTGCCATTTCTCCAGAGCACGCTTCTTCCTATGAACTGTCAATTTTAGATTGTGATCTTTGTTTCGTTTGAAAATCAACCATAGAATTGTCTTTAATTGAGGCCTGAGGTCACACCAGGGGGAGCCCGCATTATAAGGTCTACATCTGCCTCATTTGCTGCTCGATTTTCCACAATTTCCATTACCATTTTCTCTGACTCCTCCACCTTGATGACACTTGGTGTTTGTTTGGGTTTCTTTGTCTCTTGGCTTTGATTTTGTTTTGTTTTCAAAAAAATATAAGAAAGGAAAGGCCAACGTATATTCGCCAATTGATGTCTACATTTGGGTTTCCTTTTTTTTGGCCAAGAATCCTAGACCTGACAAGTATCCGGGACGCGCCCCCTTCGGGGCCTAGGACAGTGTCTCCCCTGCTGTGGGTTTTGGCCAGAAGGCTCAGCAAGATCTTGGACAGGATTCGGGACCTTATCTATCCAGATTTGGTTGGTCGCTCGGTCAACCGTAGGACCTGTGTATGTGTCTGTGTGTTTTGCAACACTTCACCGCAGGCAGTCGCCTACACACACACACAGGCACACCTTGTGTCCCTATAATTGCACTGCGTACAACCAAAATATTTTGTGAAAGTCCCAGCGGGTTGCCAGGCGAGGATCCTTCGAGGCTGCTTCTTCCTGTGCCTGAGATTGATAGGTGTGTTGTGTCTGCATGGGGTTGTGTCCTTTTTTTTTTGGGCCACAATTAAACATATCGGTTCCGCAACTAGGGTGGCCAGCTCACTCGTATCCTGCGGCCAATGTCCTGGCCATTGTAAATTCTAGTGGGCTGGGACGTGCTGGAATAAAGTCGCCTGCCAAAAGTGAGCCATTTACTGACACAGGGGCACAGTATCGTACTTTTTTTGGCTCCTACCGAGCATGCAATTTTAATGAGCTGCCCCTGGGGAAGACAAGGATCCACAGGACACTGGCCATTGTCCCGAAACACGTTCGCACTTGGCCTTGTTTGTTGAGAGGAGAGGGAGAGACCACCCAGTAAAGTCTGAGAGGGAGAGAGGTGTCCAATTAAAACGTTGCAAATCAATTTTCGGCTTCGTATCGAATCGAGGACACGCTTAAAATGGCCGCTGACAAGACACACCACACCACACAACACCACACACTCTTGGGATGCCCAATCATAATGATGATGATGATGATGATGACAGCATTACCGCCGTAACATAACTTGAAAACTACACAAACTCGCACACAAAAGTTGTCAAGTGAGCCAAGCCCAAGAAAAAAATGTTGAAAACTAAAAAAAAAAAACTGAAGGAAACTTGTCTCTCGTAATTGTACATTGTCTAGATTGTCAGCTTTTGGAAGTGGTTTTTGATATGCGCCGACACATCGCGGCATTGCCACTTCACCAGTTCCATTTCTAGCCAGGCTTTCAGGGAACATACATATAATTGGTAAGAATAATAATAATTGGTGAATGATGGTGCTTGGCAAGCAATGGTTACTTGGAGCATACTATATGATGGGTTTCTTTATCTTAAATAACTTTTAGATTTCAAATAAATTCAAGGGTTTTATTTAGGAATTTTTTTAGAGGTGAACTTGGGAGAACCTTAGGGATATTTATGTATTTTTACTCTTTGATTCCATTCTTATTTCATTAATAAATATTTCGAATCAAAGAAACTACCATGAATCATACCCATTATCTCTTATCAAAACTTTTTATGGTTACCAAGTACTCGTGCAAAAAACCACTCTGCATGAGACACACAAATATTTCATATCACATTCCCCATAAAAAAACAATCCTCTTCACATATATATTTCCTATTCTGTATTATTTAAGCCCCCCTTTTTGCTGGGCGTTCTTCGAGCACTTGATACACTCGCACTCAAACTCACACCCCTTGAATAATGTTGACTGTGTGGCGCACAGTAGTTGCATGTGTCACAATGTCGCAGCCTAATTGCACTCTACAAGCGTAGTTACTTAAGGAAAAGAACTCGGAAAAACTGGGCTGACAAGCGCCTACACTTACACTCCACAGACAGTGGAAGGGGTGGGGAAAACGAAGATACTCAGATACTTAGATACTGAGATACTCACCAGCTACGATCTAAGCACTTGTCGAGCCGAGGAGGGAGAAGTCGCTCTGGGTGTTCGTTTTTATGGCCGACGCGTCGCCGCTATCGATTGACTATTTTGACACTTTTGTTTTGCCTAAAAAGGTGTTTTAAATATATAACTTACTTAGGGGCTAAATCGAAAATCTCAATCTCAACCGTAACACAAAAGCAACTGGGTTTGGGAAAGGGCACTGAGGGAAACTAGGAGTGATAAAATAGAGAAAAAATTATAATAATTATATGAAAAAAAATTAGTAAAAAAGTACGGGTTTTTATTAAGATATTTAGTTAAAAGTTAAGCTCCTAAAACATATTTAATACAATTTTTTTTTAATAGAAAAATAAATAAAAAACTTTCTTTAAATAGTAAATATTTTAAAAATGTTATAAAATTTAAGAAAGTGCCTAAAATAATATTTTGAAACTCCTTTTTTTTTACCCAAAACCCTACATAAAATCTAACTTTTAACCTATTTACACACTCATTTCTCTGAGTGTTTCTTCCACTAACAATTTAATCACCTGAGTAGATGATTTCCTTCGACCTGTCCTGACTTTTTCCCGGCCTTATCGAAAGGGCTCAATCTGGGCAGAGCCAAAGCATTAATTGACACCTAGAAGTGGAAATCGAATCCGGAGACCCTCGAAGAACCCAGGAGACAGGGACCAGGGACAAGGCACACTGCTGCTGCTGCTGCTGTCAATTAGGTTGCTGAATTTATCACCGGGCACAAATCAGTTTGGGTAGGAAAATTGGTTTGGTTAGCCCCGAAAAAAAGAAGAAAATTGAAGCTAAGAGAGCGATCAATTCCATGGACAGACACGACACCTCAGAGGGACCTCCCATATGGGTTTTTTGGGAAGAGAACCTAATTGAATTACCGGGGTATAAAGGTGATATCAAGTTAGTTAGTGTCTGACCAATCTTCCATGGTCTTTCTTTCCCTCTCTCTTGACAACTCTTTTGTTTGTTTGTTTTCCACTTGTCCACTGTCTGTTTTATTTTTTATTATTTCATCCTCCGTTCGTTTGACATTTTAATGCGCCCGCCTTGGCTTTGTGTGTTGGCCACACACAACAACAGGGCCAATGGTGTGATGGCCATAATCCGATATAAATAAGACATTATAAGAGGCTCCGCGCTCCTAAGCAGGATCTTCTGCGGGCTCACAGAGGGAATATAATTCCCACATTGTGGGATTACAAGGAATCGACGACATGTGGCGCTCAGAAAAAAAAGCTTTTATTTTTTTCTGTTTTTTTTTTTTTTGGGTAGAAGGAAAATGACTAAAACCGAATGATGATGGGACTTGAGTCATGGACCACCTAACTAGAGGCGAGTCCGAGTTCTTGGCTCTCGTTATGATGCATATGTATATCCCTCCCATTATTCATTCTCAAGTGGCTCTGGCAGCAAATTCGATTAAGAAAAGTGAAAACAAGGCTAGGGGCAGGGGTGTGGGTTTAGAAAAGGGGGTTAAATTGAAAAGAAAAAGAAAGAAAACATGGGGTTTAGCTAAGGATTATATAAATGCATAAGATGCTAATACATTTAAATTCCCTATAGAATTTCATTTTCATTCATTTTCAATATGGATTTTCAACAAAGAGAGCCCTGACTCAGCCTGTAAGGCGTTACGCATCTTATTTATATATTTATTAATGTTTATATATATTATATATTTAAATTCTAAGTAGTTACCTACTTAAACCACCTTTGTATGCCCAAATTATTTTTTATTTCTTTGTCATTTCTTTGTCATTTCTTTGGCACTTTTTTGTCACCCTACTTTGAGGTTCCCCCTCTTTTTAACTACGCTCCTGGTTGATCTGCTAGCCAGCTTTGATCGATTGATTTCATCGATTATGGCACAACAACAGCAGTCAATGGTCTCTCTCTGGTCTCCTGGTCTCAATGTTTATTTGTTTATTTGTTTGTGCCTTGAGACACGCAAACAACACTGGGATTGCCAAAGGGAAAAGCGGACAAAACACATGATCAATTACAAGCCCAGGCAGGTTCCCCCCAAAATCCCGACAGAGTTCCCAAGCCGTAAGCCCACGCTCTCCGGGATCTCCCAATCCTCTCCATCTCCACCTC